ATATATATATATATATATGTATAATATTTTTTCCGGGTCGACAAGTATAAAATTAATCCAAAATATAAAATTTTTACAAGTATGGAGTAGATAAACTTAATTACTACAATAAATTATTTACAGTGGTTTTTAAAGATAGAAATACAATTCTTGAAGAAAAATTAATATTTACGTAAGCAATTATCATCAAAACAATAAAAAATACAAAAAAATGTTTCAAATAAAAATTTTATGATTTTGAAAGCACTTCATTACAACGTAATTAGATTTTTTTAAATTACTCTTACTTATATTTTTTATTAATTAAAAAATTTTTTTGACGTTACACAATTTAATATGATTGTGGTGACTACTCAGAAGCCTTAAAGTTTATTTTATGCTAAATTCAAGCATTAGTAACAATAATAGTTATATTCCATAAATATCTTTTTGAGAAATAATAGCTGAAAACGCTTTTTTTACGCATGATATTAATTTTATTGGTTTACTATTTGACCATGATGGCCTCTCTCCCTCCTTCTCTCTCTCTCTTTCCGTAATTTTTTCAGTGCAAGTTAACAATGAAACAGAGAGATGTCTGTAATAAATTTAATCACATAAGTAATTTTGTATATTACACATTTTATATATATATATATAGAGGAGAAGGTGATATTATGATCAGTATAGATATAATGGCCCTTTTTAATATCTCCGCTATTAAATAGTGAATTCTAGCAATTACTTATGGAATTATTTGCTTAATAGCTTGTTGTTACAGCACGACGCTAATATATCAATAGATAATTAGCATTTATTAAACTAACTATTTTTATATTTTACTTTTAAACATTTTGAATGTTTTTAAGATATATTTTAGCATTTAATTACGCATATTTCCCCATTCTTTTTAAACTTGAACTATTATTGCACGAATATATATATGTTTGAATGTGTTCTTTGTCATTTAACATTTTATTTAGTTTCGATTTATACAAAGTAAAATAGTAGTATAATATTTTGCTAATGTCCTTTATAAATATACTGATTACTAACGCGGTCTCTTTTTCGAAGTTTTCATATCAAAATAATTATTCCGTAAATTAATTGCGGCTCTACAATTACTCTATAGTTTATATTACATGTATATGTACAGATTTTTAGTATTGAGCAATCTATATGTTGAAGAAGTTATGTGTACATACATACATTTGCATAATTTGAATATATATACTCTACTATATTTTACTTTTTTATTAATTTTGTAATTCCTGTTTTTTTTAAACAAAACCAATTTTTTAAATCTATTTTTGTGAAAGGTCATATTACCATTTTTGTTTCTCTTTGAACAATTGCAGTGTCGCCACATTTTTATAAATTGTATTTTAAATAATAAATATTTTGTAATTAAAAACCAATTAAATAACATTTTGACAAATTGTTAAATTTTAAATTTAAATATGATTATTAACCAAGTTATTGTATAAAAAGTAAATTGGATGCTATAATACCATCTTTTCCTCTAATAGTCAAAGTAATTGAAAATCAAAGTTATGAATTAAATAATTTCTAATTTCGAACTTTTGTGCAATAATATTGAAAATTATCGTCTAGATTCGAAAGTTATCGTCTAGAATAATACAGCGCAATAAAATAAATAAATGCACTAATGTATTATATTTAAAGATTATGCGTTTTGCGGATTTCCTCCATGTCCGGATCCATTCTTGGAATGCCAATGTTTCGTGAATCTTGCAATCCACTTCATCAGAGTGAGAAGCAGATACTGTAGTGTCAGTATCAGGCTGCTCCTCGCCTTGATGAAGTGGACTGCAAGGTTCACGAAATATTGGCATTCCAAAAATGGATCTGGACACGGAGGAAACCCGTGAAACGCATAATCTTTATATAGAAAGCACCCGTGGAAGCCTCAAGAATATTATCAATGTATTATTAGATAATTTTACCAATGCCACTGAATTAATATACGTTATATTTTTATACACATATAACATATTACTTAGCCTATTAACTGGTAAGGAGGTTTACCGATGGATACCGGAAACGAAAAATAATACAGAATTGGTATTTTTAATCACTGAGTATTATATTATTAATATGTTAGTGCATTCGTTCATTTCGCTGCATTGTATCATTCTAGATGATAACCTTTAAAAAACCACAATTGATAAACGGCCCCTCGATAAACGAACAAACAGAACAAATATATAAAGCAACTGAGGGTAACGACGCGGTAATTAGTGCGCAATAAGATTTCCAGTAAAAAGAGTGTATTTACTTCATACTCCACATAAAAAAATCAAATGCTTCAAATCATTTTCAGTGATTAAGTACTATATACTAATTTGTGCATTATTCCTCGTTTCCGGTATCCATTGGTAAGTAATCTATCCATCAGTAATCTGTTTAATCTTCCATGATTAAAGCAAGCCTCTATA